CCCCAAAACCCCAAAACCCCAAAACCCCAAAACCCCGGATGCAATATAAAAAGAAAAGTGATAAATATTATAGAAAAATCCAAAACAATTGTTATCAATTTTAGCTATCCTAATAAGTTGAATCGCATTTAATCTTACCTCAAGTTGGTAGATGTTATATTATTATATGAAAAATATTAATAGAATCAGTAGAGGGCTTAGCATTTAGCAGGTCAGACTTAGTCTTCATTTTGAATTGAGCCTTAGAATGCAACTGAATGAGTTCTGGTAACTACTGAACCTATTTCTCCCTTTTCAAATTGCTCATGAACATAATTCCTATGCATTTCACCAATGTTTTTCATCTAGCTTTCATTCATATCGATATCTGGGACTTCATGATTACAAAAGAACAATTATTGATCTACATACGGACTATTTAGAGTGTCATTATTGACTAATGCCTTTACTCTCAATATGTAGAAGTTGTCAATGTATTCTCCTTCGCTTGTCTACTGAATGCCTTTGCTATGAAGCATTTCAGTCTTTGACAGTTTGCCATAAATACCCTCCTCCTGCTGCCTTTTCATGACTAACTTGAATACTTTAGATAAATTGATTCTGACAACTCTTGGGTGATCTGTGTGATCCTTAGCTAGCACTCCAGGCTAATGCTAAATAAACAGGTTTTCCTACACATGCTTTAACACCTTCTTGACATCCTTGCGCCTGCCAATGTCATCTTCCTTTACTGCAATAACCTGAATAAGTTGAACAACAACTTCATCCACCTTGAAAGTGTTATGGTTGTTATTGACTGTAAGTCTGACCTCAATTGCATTTTATTGGTTAACTTCTACAGAAGCATCATCCTTGCCTACCGAATGATAAGAGGCCACGCTAGTGTTGACATACTAACTTTAACTTAATGCACTCTGCATTCTATCTATATCGATACAATATGTGTCTCTTGAGTATTCGCATTATAGAGAAGTACGACCTCCTCCGAAACATAAAAATTTGTTAATAGTTGACTCATTATGAACAAGCTTCTTAATGGTGACGTATCGCTGATGGACATTGATCTTAACGCTTAAATTTTCTTTAAATACTCTAAACTTTTCCTGCATATTTTCGTTCACGTATTTCTCAATAATCTTGATCTGAATCTTATAAGTAATTTTTGCACTCAGTTATTTGCCTGAGTGATAAAATGTGCCTGCTCTAATGCTATCAGGAAGTTATATTCCAAATTAAAAGAAATGTTCGCCTGGCTCATAAATCTCTTTCTAGTGTAACTCTTGAACATCCAGTATAATCTTGTGGTCTTTGGTGACAAGCGCCTGCTCAGTTTTTTCATCGAAAAGCACATAGTTTTCCTCATAAATAAAAGCCAGTTTAGTGATGAAATCCTTGTAGTTTCGATCGAATTTCATACGAACTGATCCTTGCACTACTTCATCCTGGTAGTACTCTTCTCTATCTGTCTTTATGATAATTTTAGGTTCATCTGAGGGTTTGCCTCCAGGTCTAAGACTTGCGCCTTTAGAGAGAGTGTTCGAAATAACTGATTAGGTTTACTTGGAATTCTGCCGATTAATCATATTTTAAGAATGGATCTAAAATTATTTATCGATTCTAAGATATAATATATTTAATTTTTATCTCTATTAATCAATTTCGTAATATATCATTTTGCATTTAGGGGTTTTGGGGTTTTGGGGTTTTGGGG